CACTTATACATACAAAACATATACACTCATACATATGAGAGAGAGAGAGAGAGAGACGGGGAAAAATAAAATGAACGAGATAAAAGAATCGATTATTTCGATTTTTCGATTATCGATTATATCGATATGTTAAATAAATACGTGTTTTTTTTTTTTGTTTTAGCCTCAAATATTATTTCATAGTCGTTAAAATTCATTTGTTTCACGCAAAAAAAACATAAAAAGTAAATAAATTAAATTAAAAAAATAGATTTAAGGAATTTTTAATATAATTATAACATTATTATTATTATTATTATTATTATTATTATTATTAAATGAGTGCCTTCACGTTTAATATGATTTAATTTAATTATTAATCATGGCCACTACATACACACACACACACAATTTAAACGTAAAATATTCAAAATTTGAATAAAAAATGTAAAAAAATAAATAAATAAATATTAACGCAAAATAAGAAATTGTTAAAAATAAAATTTAAAAAAGAAAAAAAAAATGATTTTCTTTGTTTCCTTATAAATATAAAAAATTCCTCTAAAGATTTATTATTATTATTATTATTTATTATTTAAACAATAAAAGAATCGGTTTCGACGTAAATATAAAAAAAAAAAAGTATAAAAAATTGATTTTATAATAAATAAATAAGTACATAAGTAATAAAAAGATATAAACGTGTAAAAATTTATATTGTTGTTAACGTACACGCACACACACACACACACATAAAACAAATAAAATAAATAAATAAATAAATTTAATAACTGTAATGTAAAAATATTTATACTGAAAATATTATTTAATGTTACTTAAACACATTTTATTTGACTTCTTATATAAAAAAAAAAAAAAAAAAATTTATATATGTTCAATTTAAAAACAAACAAAAAAACTAATTATTATTATTATGGTGCAATAACGTGCATAGAAAGTTTTATTATTATTATTATTTTATTCTTTTTTCATTTCATCTTCAAAACTTTTTTTCTTTCCATGTTTTAAACTTTCTTTGTTTTCTGATTTTACGGAACTTTTCGAACTCGTACCTGATTCATTATTCGAACCTGAAAATTTTAAAAAATTTTAATTTTTTTTTTTTTTTTTGTAAAATTATTATTATTATTATTATTATTATTATTTTATTTTGTTTTTTATTATTCTTACTTAATTTAGCAGAATCTAGAGTGATGACGGATGGAGTTATCAGGCAACTTGATGTTTTTCTACTGCTAGAATCCACTGATTTTGCCGATATTGATGACAAACAAGGAGATGGAAGTGAAGAATTAGAAGATCGTCGACTCGAACCTCCAGGACTTTTAATCATAGGTAATGTTATACCTTTTTCCGTCAGGTACCTGATTGCAACGGGTCCGATATCAAACGTTTTAGCAATCAATTCTGCCAACTGTTGAAGTCCGAATTCATTTTGTTCCATGAGTTCTCGAAGTTCGATGTCTTTCTATGGTAAAAATTACAAGCTTTACATTTTAAAAAACATTTTTTATAAATTTTACTTCCATTATTAATTTAAAAAAAAAATTTTTTTTACTTCTTCCATAGTTTGAAATTTTGGCGACGTCGTTCCACGAATTTCTTTCACAAGTTTTTTCAAATGTTTTTCTGCTCTTTGTAATTTTTCTTCCTGATCTTTCAATTCCTTATCCGTTTCTAAAGCTTCTTCGTCTTTTTCCCTCCAGTAGTTAATTATTCCAGCTTCCGTATCTAATTTCTCTTGATATTCTTTTTCCAGACTTACAGTTATTATATCTAAACTTGCCAATGCTGCTTTTTCTCTCCTGTATTCTTGTAATAGTTCAGCGTGAGTTTTTTCAAGTTCTTCTTTTTCTAAATATTCAGGACTGTTTTCTTCTATGCTTTGAAGATTATTTCTATCAAAAAAAAAAATTATATTTAATTAAACTTTTTATCTTTTTTTTTTTTTTAATTTTTTGTTGTTGTTGTTGTTGTCTTCTTACTCACTTGAAAGCCTTATTGGTAGCGTTTACAATTCTTAATGTGTTTTCCATAGCTAATATTTCTTTTTCTGCTTTTTTAACTTTGGCATCTAATTTATCTCCCATCTGTGACAATAAAATTTCCTTTAATTCCTATAAAAGTATGATAATACTTTTAAAAAAAAAACAGATAAAATACCTCTTGTATTTCAAATTTTTCTTGAGCTTCTCTAATTTTCATATTGGATACAGACAAAGGTTCACCATTTTCATCTTTTCCCAATTTAATTAAAGTTATTTCATATTTGTTTTTTTGATTTTCAACTTTGACCCGAGCTATATTTATTCGAGCATTTAAACTTGCTGCTTGTTCTCCTAAAACTCTCTTTCGAACATTTAATATGTCTCTCATTGTTTTTATTTCAATTTCTCTTTCCTTCATTACTTGCTCGATTTCCAATCTGGATTTAAAAAAGTTTTTAAATTTATAACAATTTTTTTTATTTTTTACCCGTTTTAAATTAAATATATATAAAATATTATTATGATTAAAAATTGTAACGCTCATGACATGAAATTAAAAAAAAAAAAAATGGGTACTCACCAATTATAATTTGTCATAGAATCATTTTAATGTCTTCTAATTTTCATTTTCAATATGAAGGTAATTTTACCATAACTGCAAAAGAACCCATTTTTTTTTTTTTTTGTTTTGTTTTTGTTTTTTAATTTCACGTTATTGCGTTACAACTTTTTTATTTAAGTAAGGGAATGAAGTTTTAAAAAACCTAAATGAAACTCACTTTTGTTTTTCCAGGCAGAAAACTTTTCCACCGACTTTATCAATGGCTTTTTCTGCTTGTTTCACACGAAGTTTTAATAAATTAATATCAACTTGTTTATTTTGATTTTGTGCTCTCAAAGCTTTAAGTTGTTTTTGTCCACATTCTACAAAGAGAACATTCTCCTGTCTTTTGTTTTTTAAATAATCTTGCTCTTTTGAATCTCCTTGTAAATCAATTGCTAAACGACGCATATCCTCTTCTAAACGAACAACTTCTTTATTTAATAAATTATTTGTAGCAACGAGTTTGGTATGAATTTCTTCTAATTCTGCATATCTTTTCTCATATTTTTCTGAGTCTTCATCTTTTACAATGCTGAGTAATCGATTTAATTGAATATCTTTTTCCATATATGCAAAATCCTTTAGAAAAAAAATTTATTTCAATTTAAAATAAAAGCTTTTTTTACTTTACATTAAGGATTTTATTAATTACCATATTGTAAAGGATTTCTTTTTGCCTGCTCAATTCCATTTTTAATTTTGCTATTAATTTTACTTTTGATGCTTTACAAGATTCAATACGATTCATATCCATCATTTGTGCTTTTTCACCACTTCTTAGTTCAGATATTTGCTGCATTACTTGATGCATCAACTCATCTAATTTCTAAGAAAAAAATAAAAAAGAAATTATTTCAAGATATAATTCTTTTCTTATTACTACATAAAATTAAATATATATTTTCATTTAATTTTTTACTAATTGAAATTTGATCGACACACAATTACTTTTACAACAAATTTCTGTTATTGAAATTTATAAAGATATAAATTTATTGTATGTCTCTAGCGATTAATAAGTTTTAGTAGAATCAAACATATTAAATACTTACTTTGAATTCACACAAGTTTTTTTCCACATGTTTTTCTTCGTCTTTTAATAATTTTTCCAAATGAATAGCCTTTTCCTTAACTGTCAAACCTTTTGTTTTTAAATTGTCATATTCTTTTTTAAAATTTTCTATTTTAATTTTTATTTCCTCTATTGCCAGATTTTTAGTTTCAATTTCTTTTATTATTCCTTTATATTTGACTCTTTCTTTTTGAAATTGTGTCGCAGTTGTGCAAAGTATTGTTTTTAATGTTTCAATCTGTAAAAATATTTATTTTAACGATAAATATTTTTTGTTAAAATTCGATTTTTAAAATTATTTGAAAAATTATTTTACTTTATCATTTTCTTCTGCTATGATCTGTTCAAGTAATTTAATGTTTTCTTTATTTTCAGTAATTTCTACATTGAGATCATCAATATCTTTTTCCATCTCCTTGTTATTTTTTTGTTCATTTTCGAAAAATGTTTTCTGTTCTTCCAAATCACGTAATCTATCTTTGGCAACACTTTTAAGATTTCTAATTTCTTCTGCCACTGTATTAATGTCTTCATCTTTCTGTTTAAGAAGCCTAACTGATCCTTCCCATTGTTGAACCAAAACTCTTCTATAAAATTAAAAGTTTATACTTGAAAAAACATGATTAGAAGAAAAGCTACATTTTTTTTAAAAAATGATTTACCTTTCTGAATGTTCTCTTCTAAACATTTGAGCAGTTTTATCTAATGATATTTCAATTGCAAGTATATCATTTTTAAGAATGATCAATTTATTTTTCTTATTTTCCACTTCCCTTCCTAAATTTTGCCTTTTTAATTCCAACTCATTAAATTTTGCTTCATCTTCTTTTTTAAATTTTTCCAACATAAATGTGTCATCATCTCCCCTGCTCATTTCTTCATTCCATGCCAATAATGCATCTTTATCCCATTTAATTGTCACATTTAATTTGTCAACACGTTGAAGTGTTTTATTAATTTCATTCTTAAATAAATTTTGTTTTAAACACAATAAGTTAAAGCCAAAAAAAACATTTATTTCTATTAATCATTATTTAAATCTATATTACTTTACTTGTATAGAGTTATGTCTTTCTAATATATTTTCATGTTCTTTTTTAATTTTTTTAATATCATTTGATAAGGAAGTGTCATTAATTTTTGCCAGTTTCACTAAAGTTTCTTCCGATTCTTTTTGAGTATTATTGGCAAAAATCAAATTTTCGTTGACTTCTATTTGTTTTTGAACATTAATTAAATGTTTTTTCATTCCCAATAACCGTTCATTTACATCGTCAACAATAGACTTAAGGATTTCTTTATCTTTCTGTTTTTTTTGAAACTGAAATTTATAAATTTAATCAAATATTACGTGCATTACCACAATCGTATGATACCAAATAGGTGCGAAAAATTTTTCTTTTTAAATAAAGTATAATTTGACTCGTAAGTTTTTATTACCTCCACTTCTAAGGCTTTATTTTCCGCATTGGCAACGGGTATTTTAAACCCATCGCCCCAACCTAAATCTTTTAAAACATTTTCCATTATTATTTACTTAAAATTGGAACAATTAATAAAAATACAAAGAAAGTTAAACAGTTAGACGAAACATTCAAATAATAAATAAATCGTTGCCTAGAAACGAAATACAAGTGTCATCAGTATCTAAAACCCCGTCAATTTTCAGTTTTTAAATGATAAAAAAGTTATAAATCTTATCATCAGCTCTGATAATTTAAAAAGTTTTATTAATCATAATTAATTAATTGCATTGATATTTTGAATAATGTTTTTAAAGTAGTCTTTTTTGTTTTAAGTACAATAAACTATTTTTTTGAGTTATTATCATCGAAATAATATGTTGCTTTTTTGGAATTCTTTAAGGAAAAAACATAATAATTTTATTATAGATTGGTTTGTACCTTTTTTTTTTTTTTTTTTTTAATTCTTATTTATTATATGCATCAGAAACAAATTGAAAAAAATTTGTAAAAAAATTTACAATGAAAATATTTTATTTCAGCCAAAAAAGAAATATTTTTCTCTCTTGCATTTCTAATACACAGTATAAAACAATTCAAGAAAGTAAGGTTTGATTGTTATTTTTTAAAACATTTATAATACCAATAAGATAATTTTTTTTCCATAATTTTAGTTCGAGAGAAACTTGGTAAAATTCTGGGACATGATGGACATTTTAAGGAAGAGTCTAGAAAACATTTAATGAAATATTTGCCAAATTCACAAGATGACCTCCCTGAGAGAAGTATGAAAGATAGTCACGACTATGGAGTTATACCTCTTTTAAATAATTTTCAACTCAGAGACAAATACATTGCTACTTCGGGTCATGTTCGTTTGGGCAGATTAATGGAAGATATGGATCTTTTTGCAGGTATTAAACATTTTAAAATGATAATTTATTTATTTGAGGCAACACATTCAAATTAAAATTTTTTTTTGTAGTAACCAAAAAAAATCGAAAAGAATTTTTCGACACATTTGTTCTTTTGTTTCAGAGTATTTTAACACATGATGTTAGATAATTTAATGATTAAATTTTTAACTTTTATTGAAAAATAAATATGTAGTTTACAAAAATCACAATTACTATTTCCACTTTCATAAATTATTTAGTTTAAAAATTAAATGTCATTTCTACGATAGGTTCAATTTTATATTGCAGGACATATAGCTTTTAAACATGCTTATTACCCAGGTGTCCCTGAAGGTCTTCCTTCTCCAATTGTGATTGTAACTATATCGGTTAGCCAAATTGAATTTTTGGATTTCATAAAGGTACCAGTTAATTTTAAGAGATGATTGCTCTTATTTAATCCTGTTTGGTTTGATGGTGTAGGTTTCAAGCTATTTATAATTTTGTAAATTTTGATTTTTTTAAAATTACTTCTCATTTTTAGTTTTGTATGCAACTGTCATTATTTTACCACAATTTCTAATATTGTAAACTTATTTTGTCCAATAGAAATTATTACAAAAATTATTTAATTGCTCTTCTGAATGTGTAATGTTCACAAATATGCTTCTTTCACAAGTAATAAATAAATTTAATAATAAGTTTTTTTTTTTTTTATTGCTTTTTTCACTCGTTTTGTAAAAAGAATTATTGCAATATCACATTTCTTATTTCTTCTTATTTGTGTAAATTTTCAGTCGATAAAATGTATAAATGCTTCTTTCATCACCCTTGTGAATAAAATTAAAATTTTTTTACAGATTCGATAAATTGACAATTTTGTAAAATTATTTTAGCTTTTTAAAATAATATGTTTTTTATTGCCACATTCTTAATTTTACCCAAAGGGATTTTAAAAAGTAATAATAATAATAGTAGTAGTATTATTATTATTTAAATTTGTATTATTACATTTTGGTAATTTTTTTAGTGCACTGTGCAGAGCTTCAAATTATGCAGTTTTTTGTTAGTGACTTTAAAATAATACTTAATAACCTAATTATATAGGGGCTATAATTTTTTTTAGCCCGACTTGGACGTCCGTCTTTCCGGACATGTTTCTTGGGTGGGTAATACATCTTTGGAAATAGCTGTTTGGATTCATCAATTTTCAAACGGGGTATGGAATCAAATAACTCGAGCATTATTTTTGATGGCTTCGAGAAATTCGATAAATACTGGTGCCGCATTTGTAAATCGTCTTAAATTTAACTCGGAAGAAGAAAAAAAATTATTCGCCGGTGGAGAAGGTAATTTTTTAAATTATGTAAAATGAACTTTTTCAAGTCTCTCACGTGAAACAATTGGATTTTTGTTTTAAAGAAAGAAAATTAAATAGGAAAAAAAAAATGAAAGAATCATTATTGACAACGGTTCCGACAGCAGAAGAACTTCATACAATTCATTCGTTATTCGTTGATACGATTAGTTCGAAAGAATTGTTTTCAAATAAGAGAATTCTTCCCTCCAATAGCAAATGGATGCACGATACCGTTCAAAGTTCTTTAATTTTTTGCCATCCTCAAGTGCGTTGATATCTTATCACTTTAAAAAAAAAAATTAAACTTTTTCATCGCAATTGGTAATAATAATAATTATTATTATTTTTTTCAAATAAAATAAACTCAATGTAAATAATTTATTTTTATAGCATCGTAACATTCACAATAAAATTTTTGGCGGTTTTTTAATGAGACACGCTTTGGAATTGTCGTGGATCATCGGGTTCATGCACGGGTAATTAATAATAATTCATCGTGACACGACGATTTTTAATTTAAAAAAAAAAAAAAACGTTTTATTCGTTTCAGTTTGAATATTCCCAAACTTGTTCGTATTTCCGATATAGGATTTTATCATCCTGTCGAAGTGGGGTCCATTGTGAAAATGTTTGGATGCATCACCTACACGGAAGATAATTTCATTCAAATTTTTGTTATCGCAGAAGCTTTAGGTCCCATGAAACTTGAAAGCAAAGAATCCATCGTATTTAATTTTACATATGATTTAGGAAAAAAAACCGATAATGTCATACCTCAAAGTTATCCAGGTATGTATTTCCTATTATTATTATTATTATTATTATTATAAATATTTTGAATTTTTATAATAATTTTTTTTTATTTTATGCAGAAGCCATTCAGTATCTTGATGGAAGGAGAAATTTTAAAAATAAAATACATTTAGAAATAGGCGATTCGATTTTATAAAAAAAAACCGTTAAAAATTTTCTTTTTATATCGAAATAAAGAAGACAAATATAATAATAATAGTAATGGCGATAATGGTGATGCACTTTTTTTCCAAAAGATAATATTATTATTATTCCCCTTTAAAATTTTTTATAGAATGAAAAATGTAAAAACTTGTGAAGGAAATAAAAAAAAATTTATTTTTTGTCCATTTAAAATAATAAATAATGGAGTTGTTTGAATTTTATTCTCAACAGAAATTAAGTTTAATTGGAAGAGGCAGGGAGGAAGACACATTTTCTCAATTGGCATTAATTGTTTTTAATTTTTTTAAATTGAAAATAGGCTTCACATGATGTCATCATCTTTAACAATAACCTCTGAAATCATTTTTTTCTATTTTTTTTTTCTTTTGTTCGTTTTGTACGAATGAAACGTAAATTTTTGGTTTTTCTTTTCTTTTCTTTTTTTTTTTTAATATAAAAAATGAATAAAATAATGTGCAAATGGTCGGGCGTAATTTTTTACTATAATATGATAAAGAATGGTTGAAAATTGTTTATTTTTTTTAGTTTTAAATATTAATAAATTTAATTTTAAAATTTATTTATATTTGTTAATCAAAACTTTTTTATTTTCTTTCCAACTCATCAAACTTATTTTCCTTCTATTTTTTTTTTTTACTTTATATTATAACAATGGGAAAATGTTTAATTTATTTTTTTTTTTTAGAAATTTTTTAGTATTCGACCCGCAGGACTAGCGTATGCTGTGCGTGTGTGTATGCGTGTGTGTGTGTGTATATTTAATGATACCATCTTTAAATGAGTGAGAAGAAATTGGCGTGATATGGGTCACATTTAACCCTCATATTATCACCTCATTCCAAGATTATTTGACCCCTAATAAGCTTTGAGATAATCAAAAAATTTTACTTTCTGCCTCTTGATTTTACTATTAATAATAATAATAATAATAATAATATAACCCTCTGTAGCATTTTTTTTTTTTTTTACCGTACAATTTTTATTTATAAGGCAAGAAAATGAGGGTGACGCGTGTGTATGTAAGAATAATAATAATAATACCACAGCCGTTTGCATAACTGTACCCTTATAGTGGTCACATGCCACTTTTTTTATTCGATGTATCCCACCCCCCCCCCATCCCTGAGTCACATCAGTCCTCATCATCTTTTATTAGACAACATTTGAAATGTTAAAATTGTTTATATGCCTCATCTTTTCCATTTAAAATTAAAATATTTATATTTTTTCGGTATTTATACATAATTTTTTATTAAAATGTTTTAATTCATTTAATAAATAAAATATTTTCTTCGTTAAACCTTTCACTTAAATCAATGAATATTATTATTATTATTTTTAAACGTCTGACAAAAAAAAATTTTAATTTAATTACAAAATACAAATCGTATACGTATTTAGACATGATTTACAAAATTTTATTAATTTATTTATTAGTTTTATGTAAAAAAAAAAATAAAAGTTATTATTATTATTATTTTTTATAAGAGAATCAAATGTTATTACATAAAAAAATAAAAACCGTCGGTTCAATTAAATACAAAATAAGTCTCATTATAACTCATTATTTTCTTATAATCGTTTTTCATTTTTCATTTTTTAAAAAAATATAATTTTCTACTTACAAAAAAAAAAAAAAAGAAAATTCGAAAATAAAAATTTAAAATGTTAAACTGTTGTTGTGGGCAAAAAATTTCATTGTCTTGATAAAACGTTTACGTAAAAATTTTTGATTGGTTGAAATTTAAAATTGTCGACCAATCAGAACGTTTCTTTTATTTTTTAAAAAAAATTAAACCAGTTGACGTCGTTTATAATACGTAACGGTCGTTTTGTCCGAAATCGTCATTTTTGTTTAATTTTTTTAAATTTTATTAATCGTTTTATTTAATAATTTAATAAAATATACCGGAAGTGAAATTTATATAAAATTATAAATGTTTTAAACTAATTTTATTTTGTTTTATTTTTAAATTTAAACGCTTTGTAATACGAATGAATTTTAGTATATGGGATCGTAATGTCCGCCATCGTTATTAAATGATTTTTTTTTTTTTTTTCCGTTGGAAATAATAAATATTTTTACGGATCGAAGATACGTTAAAATATATTTTTAAATTAATTATATTAAAAATAAATAATTTATTAACGAGTGAAAATTATTAAAAATAAAGTTGAGGAGGGAAAATTAAAAAAAAAAAACATTTGTTTGCGACAAATCGTACGAGTCGTACTACGGTAGGCGTTTTTATTTTATCATAAAATAACCGACGTTACAATTGTATAAACATGGGCGGTTTAGACGGTAAAATAAGAAAAAAAAATCCAGCATTAAAGTTTAATATTATAAATTGGTGTTGAAAATTTAGATCTAAATCAGTCTAGATTAAATATTGTTAGTTTCATTTACAATATTATAAATTAAATTCTCTCAAAGACTAATTTTTACCAATTGATCAATTATTACTGGTAATTTTTTCATTTAATAATTTTTAAAATTGTTTAAAATTAATCTTAATTAACATTTGTTTAAAGGTGTTGTTTATTTATCTGTATTGATTATTTCGATTTGTTTTTTTTTTTTTTTTTTCCTTTAATAAATTTATTTAAGTGATGACATTAATGAAAAGTTAAAGAGTTAGTTATGGAAAATTGGTTAACATTAAATTTTTATTTACTAAATTGTTTTTAATTATTGTGTAATTAATAAACACACACACATAAATACATAAATCGGTTAAATCAAATTATGATTTATTTTAATAAATTATTTATTTAAAAAAATTATGCACATTATTAGGAGTTTATTAAATTAATAAATGTTTTTTTTTCATCATTATCATTATTATTATTATTTAATTTTAAAAAATGAAAATAATAACGCGTAAAAAATTTTTTTATTATTTTCTTTTTTCTCGAAAGTTTTTTTTTAATTTAAAAATAAATTTTCGAATAATTTTGGATAAAATTTTAAGGAAAAAAAAAAAAAAAGAAAAAAAAAATTCAGGTACTGATAATTAATTAATTAAAAAGGAAAAAGGGGAGAAAAATATAAACGGAAAATTTTTTTTTTTTTTTGTTTAAATTATAATTTTTGTTATGAATGAAAC